TATGGCATTAAAATGGAGCTGGAAATATGGGTAGGAGCTAAAACCATGCAGAGATATGTGTAAGGTTTTAGTCACTATCTTAAAAACAATAGAAAACTGTTGAATTTTTTGTTGTTGTTGGGGATGAGTGTGGGAAACATAATCAAATTTACATTTTCAACCTATCATTTTGCTGCTGTGTGGAGACTGCACTGCAGAGGGAAAGAGGTAGAAGCAAGGAGACATGTTAGGAGGTGTTTGTAGGAAGTAAGGCATAATGGTGGAGTGGGTCAGGTCATGGTGGTCATTTTGGTGGAAAGATACAGACATATTCTAGAGATATTTAGGTAGTATTATTGTCAGGAAATGGTGGTAGATTGAAGATGAGAGTATAGAAGCAATGGCTGACAGTGATGGTGACTCCCAAGTTTCTGGCCCATTCTGTTGGTTATACACTACTTTTTAGCTATAAGGTTAATATTTTTCCCAATTTGTCTTTTCTTTGTTGTTGGTTTCTGATAAATACTCTGTCATATTAAGGAAGTCTCTTTCTATTTGTAGTATATAAAGCGTTTTCATAAAAAAATGATTCTGTATCTTCTTACCTTTTGTTTATTAGTTAAATTATAGTAATGTAAATAAATATGTAAATAGAGCTTCTGAAGTTGAGTCATCCTTGCATTCTTGAAAAATGTCTTTTTGTGGTCATGGTTTGTCATCCTCTAATAATTGCTGGATTCAATGTGCTGATATTTTCTTAGGATTTTTATATCTATGTCTATAAGTTGAAATAGGGCCTTTTTTGAAAAAAACTTGATTAGTTTTCTTTTCATATATATAAATGACCCAAATTATGTTGTTTTGTTAGATTCTTGATTGATGTAGAAGGCATGAGGCCCGATGATGCAATTGAATGTAAGTGTGAGGGTTGACGCTATTTTTCCCTTTTTATGAAAGTTGAAGGTGCAAATGTAGAAGAATTTCTCAAATTTTGGAAATGAAGTTTGTAGTTCATTTGTTCCAATATGAGATAGTCTTGCCAAAACGCCTATAGATGTCTGTGGAAGTAGTGAGATATCACAGCCTGAATAGCGCATTTCAGCCTAATTTACTTTTTCTGGGAAAGATTTGCTTTTCGTACAGTTATTTCTAAGAGTTTATCCACTCCTCAGTATTCAATAGGTGCCAGGGACATTGCTTAGAAAGAAAAACTACATACGAGACCTTCAGAATGGTCCTATCAGAAAGTCTTATTTATTTACTTGTTTATTTCCTTCCTTACTTGCATACATACTTATCTGAGATGGATTCTTGCTGTGTCACCCAGGCTGGAGTGCAGTGGCACAATCTTGGCTCACTGCAACCTCCGCCTCCCAGGTTCAAACAGTTCTCCTGCCTCAGCCTCCCAAGCAGCTGGGGTTACAGGTGTGCACCACCATGCATGGCTAATTTTTGTATTTTTTTTAATAGAGACGGAGTTTCACCATGTTGGCCAGGCTGATCTGGAACTCCTGACCTCGTGATCTGCTCACCTTGGCCTCCCAAAGCGTTGGGAAGTGTTGCCCGTAATTCTTGTGTTTTATATGTGAGATTTGTGTGTCAGGGAGATCTCTTTTTATATAATTTACGTATCATATATCCTTCTGGTAGCTTGTTTATTTGTTGTGGGAGAGGTAAACAAATAGGCATGGAAGAAGGAAATAATTGTTATTTTCATACACCAAAATATAGTCACTAAATGGATTACTACATTTGGGAAGCAGTAACATTGTGTGGAAATATTCTCATTAAGGAATTGGAATTTCAGTGTACCCAGGTCAAGTGGCTTTGAAGACTCAGCACATTTCATGCAGCCAGTTCACCCCATGAATTAGCATGCTAAACAAGGACCTAGGTGTAATCTACATGGGATCCAGGGTCACACAACTCCTTGGCATTTCCACACCCAGACCCAAAATTTGCAACAATGAGTCAGGGTACCTCTCTCTGCTTTCCTTTTCCTAGAATTGAGGTAGAAATTAATACTGTAATTAATGAAACACATTATGATACCGATGAGAAATTTTTGCTGATCAGTTTGAACTAGGAGATATTATTCTGCTCTGTATTTTGCATTTAGCCCTGGAAAAATCAGTTACAGGACAGGGAATATGTGACTTTCAGAGGCAAATGGTAAGGGGACTTAGAAATTTTCATTGATTTTTAACTGAAGCCAAGAGTTTGATGTGGCTATCCAAAAGGATCTTATATTCTTAGGCTACATTAATGTGATATGGCTTTTAGATCAGGAAGGTTGTTACTTAGAAAGTTAATATGAATTATAAGAAAAGTAATAAAATTCTAATAGAGAAATTGCAAAGGATCTGAACAGATAAACAACAAAAGTATTTTCACTTAGAAAATGGGGAAAACCTCAGTATGGTTAAAGTGGTATATTAGTATGAGTCCTCCGGAATGATGGAACCAGTCGGATGGATGGTTGGATGGATGGATGGATGGATGGATGGATAGATGGATGGGCTGGTGGGTCAGTAGGCGGGTGGGTAGATGGTGGGGCTTTTTTATTAGGGGAATTAGCTTATGTACTCAGGAAGGCTGAGAAGTTTCACAGTAGGCTGTCTGCAAGCTGGAGAACCAGGGAAACTGGTAGCATTCAGTCCCAGTCAGAAAGCCACAGAAGCAGGGAAGCTGGTGGAGCAACTCTCAATCCAAGGCTAAAGGCCTGGGAATCTGGTAAGGGTTGGAGAACACTGGTGCGAGTCCTCAAGTCCAAAGGCCAGAAAGCCTGGAGTTCTGATGTTCAAGAGTAGGAGAAGGTAGGGTATTCCAGCTCTAGGAGAGAGCACAATTAGCCTTTCCTCTGCCTTTTGTTCTATCCAGGCCTCCGGCCTATTGGATGGTACCTACCCATGTTGAGGATGTATCCTCCCACTCAGTCCACCCACTCACACACCAGTATCCTCTGGAAACACCGTCACAGACACTTACAGAAATAATACCTCAGCAGCTATCTAGGTATCTCTTAATCCAGTCAAGTTGACACCTAAAATTAACCATCACAAATATCAAGGTGATGTTTTGTAGACAGAGTCTCACTCTGTTGCCCAGGCTGGAGTGCAATGGCACACTCTTGACTCACTGCAACTGCCACTTCCCAGGTTCAAGCAATTCTCCTGCCTCAGCTTCCGAGTAGCTGGGATTGCAGGCACCTGCCACCACGGCTGGCTAATTTTTGTATTTTACTAGAGATAGGGGTTTCACCATGTTGGCTAGGCTGTCTGGAACTCCTGACCTCAGGTGATCTACCTGCCTCAGCCTCCCAAAGTACTGGGATTAAAAGCATGAGCCACCGCCCCTGGCCAGTTTCCCAACAGTTTTTGATAAGCACTCTAGTGTAGTGGTTGTCAGGGACCTGGTTTTGTATCTGGGCTCTGTTACCTGCTTTTTGATCTTGAGTAAGATACTTAGCCTGTCTACATTTCCATTTTTCCATCAGTCAGATGGAGATTTTAGTAATATATACCCCACAGTGGTTATTGTTGACAGTTAACATGAATTTAAACAGTTGAGCATATTGTAAACACTTTCAAAAATACATCGGCATTTTTAGCCCATGCGTGTTGGGTCAGCACTTAGGGAGGCCAAGGTGGAAGGATTGCTTGAGCATAGGAGTTGGAGACTAACCTGGGCAACATGTTGGAACCCTGTTTTTGTTTTTTTTTTTTTTTTTTTTTTTTTTTTTTTTTTTTTTTTTTTTTTTTTTTTTTTTTTTTTTTTTTTTTTTTTTTTTTTTTNTCAGTCTGGAGTGCAGTGGCACAAGGCTAGGCTCACCGCAACCTCCGCCTCCCGGTTTCAAGCAATTCTCCTGCCTCAGCCTCCTGAGTAGCTGGGATTACAGGCATGCACCACCCACTACACACAGCTAATTTTGTGTTTTTAGTAGAGATGGGGTTTCTCCATGTCGGTCATGCTGGTCTCCTGACCTCAGATGATCTGCCCGCCTCAGCCTCCCAAAGTGCTGGGATTATAGGCGTGAGCCACTGTTCCTGGCCTGGAACCCTGTTTTTATTAAAAAAGAAAAAAAAAACTTTTTTAAAATTGACTTTTCTTTTACGGTTTTATTGTTTTGTTTTGTTTTGCTTTGCTTTGCTTTTGAGACGGAGCCTTGCTCAGCTGCCCAGGCTGGAGTGCAAAAACACATTCTCGACTCACTGCAACCTCCACCTCTCAGGTTCAAGAGATTCTGCAGCCTCAGCCTCCTGAGTAGTTGGGATTATAGGCGTGCAGTACCATGTCTGGCTAATTTTTAATTTTTTTTAATTTTTAGTATACACGGGTTTCACCGTGTCTTGGTCTCAAACTTCTGACCTCAGTTGATCCACCCGCCTCAGCCTCCCAAAGTGCTAAGCCACCATGCCTGGACTGAAAATTAACATTTTTAAAAGATGTAAACCAACAGTTTAAAAACATGTTGCTAGTGACATTGAAAATTGGTTTAAGCCTTTTGAAGAACAATTTCAAGAGCCATAAAAATGCTTTACCTAGTAATTTGATTTTGAGCCTAAGGAAATACTTCAAAATGCAGAAAAAGCTATATTAATCATTCAGCACATTTCTCAAATGCCTTACCATGTGTCAGACCCTGGGCTAGCTCAGGATACAATGTTTTGCAATGTTAATCCCAGCATCATGTGCAGTCGTGGAAAAACTCGTGGCTGCTGTATATCCAACAGTGGAGAATGTAGCTAAATAATTATTATATCCATACTATAGCATTTTATAAAGCCATTGAAAGTGGTAGGTCACTTACGACAAGTGAAAATAATAGGCTGCGATTCAACAGTCAGAAAAAGATGCTGGGGAAAGGAACAAAAGGAAATACTAACTAACTGAATTATATTAAGTGGGATTGAGGGCTCTGCAGCTGGGGGTTATTTTTTCTTTTCTGAGGTTTCCAAATTTTTTTTTATAATTATGTAAGATTTTCTGATATTATATTTATTCAAATTTGTTGCATGTACCATGGTTAAAGTTGTTCTACACTTTATAATTTATGTATATTTGTTCACAAAGTGAAAGTAGCCGTGTGTTTTCAGTACTAAACAGCTTATTGTGTCTTATGTCAACCCTACCAGACTTGGGAGAGAAAGTATTTAAGTAGAGTAGTATAGGCATGCATTTCATGCACTTATCTCTGTAGGGAAAGGTGGAAAGGCTTCTGGGAATCCACTCTGTGCCAGGGCATTGTGGGTAATTGAAATGTATTTTCTTAATTTAGCTTCGTAACAGCTCATGAAGGTGGAAAGTGTTATTAGCCCCATGTTATAAAGAACTTAGGGAAATAAAAGTTAAGCAGTTTATCTGCTAAGGTCACACAGGTAGGAAACAGTAGAGTATATATTATTTTATAAATATATGAACTTAAAATATTTTTTAAAAATATGATTTTAAAATAAATAAAAATTATTTTATTAATCCTAGTAATGGCTTATTACTTTTTGTTTTGCTTTAAGAATGTTTTCACAGAATCCAAATGTTTACCAAAGAGGCCATATCCTTCCTCCTGGTCCCCCCGGAGAAGATTATTCACACAGGAGGTACACTTGGAATGTGAAGCCAAATGCCAGTTGAGCAGCCCAGGAGAGAAGAAGGTGGTATCCTGACAATTACTCCGGACTATCCTATCCAGCCTATTGGGAATGGACCCAGTGATACAAACCTGTCCTGGAATTCCACCTGGATACCAGAGCTGACCTGAAGATTACAGGTGTGACTTCTAATTAGATCAGGTCTAATGAGGTTTCTTTATTGTTCCCTTATGTGTTCAAAGCTTAAGGAAAAATTATATTGCTGTTTACCTCACTAGGAAAGTGGCACAGTGTTAGTGGTCTTGTGTGTTGTTGTGAAGGTGAACTGAAATAGTCCGTCTCACTGACCCATGCATAGATGGTGAGTCAATGGTGATCTATACGCCATGGTCTTTTCTGGGTCAGCTTCAGGCTGCTGCAGTTCACTTGGTTGCGCCCCATGTTATCAGCTGCACCTAGAACTGTGAGCCCTTGCCGTTCCCCTGGTGGTAGATTCCCCTGTTTTGAGCCGACCTTTCCCAACTGTGATCATATATGTATAAGGTAACCCAAACCTGTTAGAGATGAGTCCTGAATCTTATTTTCTAAAACACCTATCTCATAGGCCATGAGACATAAGGCCATCATCCATGGGAGATATTGTACATTTCTTTTAGTCCACCCAGCCTTATCTTCTGTCATCTTCATCTTCTATCCAAATTTTATTCTTGTAGTCCTAACCTCAGATTCTGCATCCTACTTCTGCCATTTCCCCCATTTCTGATTCTTTGTATAAGCCCATGAAATCTCTCCCCTTTTGACCTTCTTAATCCTGGACCACGTTCCTTGCTCTTTCCTCAGTTCTTCTGTCTATTCTCCCACCATCCATCTTTTAGTTTCTTCTTATTTTTATTTTATTTTATTTTATTTTATTTTATTTTTCTGAGATGGTGTTTTGCACTGTTGTTCAGGCTGGAGTGTAGTGGTGTGATCTTGGCTCACTGCAACCTCCGCCTCCCAGGTTGAAGCAATTCTCCTGCCTCAGTCTCCCGAGAAGCTGGGATTACAGGAAGCCACCATCACACCCAGCCATTTTTTGTATTTTTAGTAGAGATGGGTTTTACCATGTTGGCCAGGCTGCTCTCCCAACTCCTGACCTCAGGCGATCCACCCCCCTTGGCCTCCCAAAGTGCTGGGATTACAGGCATGAGCCACCATGCCCAGCCATAATTCCTTCTAAGGCAGCCTTTGATCCAACCCCCAAAAGAAAACCCGCAGTCAACAGCATCTCAAAACTCAAAAGCCTCTTTATTACTTATCTATTACTTCTATTAGATTTCTTTATTAAGTTTTAAAAATATATTATTGGAATGAATAAATTAGTATCTAATTATTTGGAAAACCAGGTGGTATCCAAAGTAAAGCCAACAGTCTCAGCAGCTCTTAGATTCTGTAGCCATAGTATTGAGAAATTTCCATATCTTTTTCCCTTTTGATGCTGCAGTTTCCCCAAAGAGGTGTGTTTGGCAACATTCTCACGCTCTTGCTGAGCCTTCCTCTTCATGGCCTCATGCTCTGGCCTCTGCTCTTTTGTGATGGGCGTTGACACTACTGGACCAGAAATGTTGGGTGTCCTCCACGGCCTGGGTTGTAAACTGAAGTCTTGGATTAGAAATTGATTTTGAGGCTTGGGCAGTGACTGGAGATTGGTCACAGCAGTGGAAACAGGCTCCTGCTGGAGAGAAGAACAAGACTATGTTTTGTAGGGTGCTGGCCTAGAAGCAGCAGGCTGAGAGGCAGTAGGAGGCTGGTTAGGGTTGGCTGAACTGGGTTGGGTTGCATTGGTCGAAATTGGCTGAGCTGGTTTGGCAGGACCTGTCAAAGATGTGTTGGTGGAGCTGGTTGGGACGAACTGACTGCAGTCGATTGAGCTGAGTTAGTAGAACCAGGTCGAGCAGGGCAAGCCACAGCAGGCCTACGTGAGGCCAGAGGTTGTGGCTGCCGAGAAACAGGTCAAGCTTGAGGTTTGTCCAGGGTTGGAAAGGGCAAAGGTACCAACTTGACCTTCCCAGGGGATGGCAACTCATACTGGGATGGAGATAGACACTCTTTTTCAGCACTATCATCCAGTTTCTGTGCCTTGAGTTGAGTTTTCTCTGGGCCTTTCCCCTCACCTGAGGTATCCAGCCATGGTTTGAGAGCTGAGAATGGCCGGGGGTTCTGGACGTTGCTTGAGCTTCCCAGAGTCTGGGAGGAAGAGAATCCAGTTTTCTTGTCGGTCTTTTTCCCCAGTGCGTGGAAAACTTGCACAGACTCTAGCATGTGCATGCCTAGGGAGCTTCGTGGCTTTTTGATGGTTTCTTGGCTAAGCTCAGGTTGAATTTTATTCCATTTCATATTGGGAATGGTTTGCTTCTCTTCTACCTTGACTTTGGTCCCTGACTGCTTACTGTCTTCAGATTTCCTGGAGCTGTTCTCTCTGATCCTTTTGGCCTTCTCCTGCCCATGCCTCTTAGTTGCACTCCTCCTGGTGGTTGCGGCTTTGTGAGGTTTGTTGCTAGAATGCTTGCCCTTGTTCACAGAAGCACTATCACTGGCGGTAGCACAGCAAGCAGTCACTTCTCCCTCTAATAGGCTCTCTGGGTTCTTTGGCTGGATTTTGGCCTTGGGAGCACCCTGGATAGGCTTGGCAGCTTTATGCTTGTTCTTCCAGACTTGATCAGACTGACCGTTTATGACACTTGACTTTTCCTGAACCTGATTTACCTTGATGGCACTGGGATCTTTGGCTTTCTTTGTGGAGGGACTTTTGGGTTGGTCAAGATCTTGTAAAGAACTGAAGATGGAGGGACTTTTGGGTTGGTCAAGATCTTGTAAGGAACTGAAGATCAAGGGGATGTGAGTATTCTCCACCAATGTAGTGATGTCTGCAAGATCACTGTTAGACTCAATCCCATTTTCAAGTATCCCTTGGCCCTCAAGACTCAAGCTGTTCTTTCTCAGATTGGTATTTTCGGAACGAGGCTGCTCCTCTTGGCCAAGAGGACCAATGCAGGACAGAAGCTGGTGAATATCAGGGATTTCTAAAGGAAGCAGTGGAGGATCTTGATTTTCTTTTGGGAACTGGTAGGCATCTAGAGGCTTTGACAGCTTGGTTTTAATCTCATCCAAATTCTTATTCTTGGTTTTTTCCTGGCTTGGAGCTGGAGACACTGTCAAGAGATTAGTTGGACTCTGGACTGGAACTATCGTCGAGATGTCTTCAAGCTCAGGTGATGGATTACTCTCAAGTAATAACTGGGTATTTCTGCTGCTGCAGGACTTGGAGAATTCTGAAGTTTGTGCCAGACAAAATGTCTGGCTTGGAGATTGCAATCCCAAGGAAGTATTCATCCCCAGGGAAGTTTCCATCACTGCCAAGGAATCAAGGAAGACGTCAATCCCTGGTAAGTGAGATGCTCCCCCTACACACCAAAGCAGCAATAGCATACCTTTCTAACAGGGGCTGGGCATTTCTACTAACTCTTCTTCAGGACGATGGACAAGACCCTGTGTTAAGGGATAGACAATGACTTTTCTCTTACTGGTTATCATTTGGTATGATTGTTTCTTGGCTTTCTTTGAATTTCATAGGGTTGTTGTAAGCCAAATAAAAAGTGAAAGTGATTTTTAAGTAGGAGATGTTTTATAAAGCCTCACATTCTCGTATAGGGTAACCCTTTACACCATGGACTAGGGGAGAGAGTGGAGCCCTTCCTCATGAAATATATAAGCAAGCACAGATTCTGAGTTTGTTTGTTTTGGAGAGGATCTCTGAGCAGAAGGTCTTAAATCCTATTGTAAGTTAAGGAAAATTCGAAGGTCATTGCCAAGATAAGACTTCTGAAGTGCCTTCCAAACAGACTAAAGTAATAGATTAAGGAAGGAAGTTACAACATCTGGTGCAGGGGAACTCATCAGCCAGGGCACTAAAAAGTGTGGTATCTCTTGCGACTCTCTTAAATGTGGCATAGATGGCCATTATAGTGTTCCACTTTCCCGCTTAGAAGGTGTTCTTAGACAGAGTCTGAAAATGGAGAGCAATGCCCAAGAATAGTGGTTAAAGTCTCAGGACTTAAATTCTGCCTATCCGTGGGCTTACCGCTCGGCTACAGATTTGACCCTCCCTTTCAATGCTGTATTTATTCTTCTCCCTTCTTGTTGTTTGTACTCACTTTGAAAACTGGTTTCTGTGATGGGTTGAGCAGACACAGAGTAATACATCCCAGAAGTGGAGACTGTTGGTAGGACTTTCGTGGGCTGAACCTCCTTTAGCACCATCACAATTTCTGGTTGATGGGCAGAGGCCCTATATCCTGTAGATGACACAGAGCCACAGGATTGCAGCCAGGGGCCAAGTTCTCCAGATAGTTGAGGCCCCAGCGTGCCTGGATTATAGTAATAGACCTGGCTTCCTTTCTGGTAGGGAAGTGACAGGCTATGGCCCTGCTGATTTGGAATTTGAGATTTTATCCCCTGAACAAGGCTGGCAGATAGTGTTGGATACAGAGGTACCATAATATTGGCATCTGAAGTTTTATGCTGGGCTGTCATAGACATGGAAGAGACAGCTGTGTTCTGGTCAATGACAGTCACAGTGAAGTCCCTGAGTGAGGATGACTTCTTTGCTGTGCTTGCTGCAATGTCCCACTCAAAAACACCTGGGTATGAGGCAGCTGAAGTAGAGCTGTGGCTCTGGCCACTAACCCCAGACAACATAGCTGTCCTAGAATGTTGATAAAGGTAGGCACTGCCCATGAGTGGCTGGAAAGAGGTGCCAGAGGCTGATGGCAGTAGCCATGCTGAGCCAACAGCTGGAACAGAGGCTCTGGAGAAGTTGGAGATGCTTCCTGTTAAGGAAGCCGCACTGCTCACCACAGGAAGAGAGAGCTGCAGAGAATTTGCTGTTCCAAGTAAAGAAGTATTTTGGAAATCTGCAGGAAAGAAGAGAGAGATGAACAAACTGGTGAGATTGAGAAAATTTTACCTTATTTGAAGAACAGCATTATCTTAAGATTGTTGCAATCAGGAAGCCTCTAATACCGATACTCACTGAGATACCAAAAACCAAACACTTTATGATGGCCATGAGTGCTGACGCAGTTTGGTCCTGTTCTGATGAACTTCCTTTGTGTCCAATATGGGCACAGATGTGCAGAAG